GTCAAGCGGTCATGTTTAAATGTCTTCCAGCACGACTCAGCAGCCGCGTCAGGCCTCACCTCTGCCTGGATGCAAGCCCTGCCCTCTGTGACAATGACATCATCATCAAGCAGCCCCGTGGATTCTGGGATCAGCAGTGTCTCGAGCAAGGCAGACGGAGAGGAGGACGACAGCAAGACCACCAAGCACAGCACACACTCCTCCGCTATGTGTCAGGAAATAATCTAACAAACATATAATGTCATCTATATATTATACAGCTAAAGTTATTGATGTGCCTTTTTTTTTTTTTTTTTTTTAAATCACATTTTGAAATATATTTTTGTGTTTCTCCCGTTGGTTGACATGGCAGCGGACTGTGAAATAGAAAGCCGCGTCAGCCCCTCAGCTGTACCGGGGAAGGTTGAGCCCACACTCCAACATGTCACTAACCCCGCCGCCATTTCTTCTGTCCCCACTCCTTCCCCTGTGGCTCCGGCGATCCCTCGGCCCAAGGCCCCTCTCCTTGGCTATTGGACTCATTCAAAACCTCCGCCACTCCCCGTTTTGCGTTTTCCCAGGGTGAGTAGAGGGAAGGACTTGAGTATAGGCAGAGTGATGGGCAACCTATTATGAGCACAGACTTCTGCAGCTGTCACTACCTTTAATGCAAACAGGTCTGGGCAACTGAAGCAGATTTAGTTTTCCTGTAAGGCAAAAATAATCTTTTGACAATGAAGTGTGGTGGCTTTGAAATTAGCAATGTAACACAGGTTTCTGTTTAATTTAAGCATCTCAAATGTCCTACATTAGGAATGATCTCTTATTCATTGCTTAAGTTCATTTCCTGATAATATATTTTTAAAAGTAACAGACATATTGTCACGGCCTCTGTCTCCCTCTTGAGGAGATAAAAAGGTACTGACACGAGAGTGCTTTGACATTTTCCTAGAAAAAGGTTTTCCTCTTTTGCATAATAGGGATCATCTCTGTGTTTCCTCCAGAGCATCGCTGTGTCCCACAAAGCCAGAAGGCCCGAGTCTGGGTCAGTCTCTGGCTTTTCCTCACCAGTTGACAGGTAACACACACACAAACACACACACACACAGAGCCTAGAGATCATAAACTAGGTCAAATGTCTTCATGCTGAAACTCTGTCCACACAAAGTATAAAGAGTACAAAGGGTCATTCTAAAACACAAAGGGGTTTCCACTTGCTTTTGTTACTTTAAATCTTAAGTGTTTTTTTTAATTTTTTATCATTTTGTTTCTTTGTAGCTATGCCTCTGATGTTACCTCAGGTTTCAGTGACGGCAACGATGGCCAATCAGACATGGGCACCAAGGAAGTGACCTCAACGGAATCTACAAAGCAGTTCAAGAAGAGAGCGAGGGCTCGTCTGAAAATCATAGGGGTGAAAACCTGAGCCAAAAGTAGTCATTAAATCCAAGTGTACCATGTATACAAAACACAAGACATGCTGTTTAAAACACCTTGTGTGTGTGTGTGTGTGTGTGTGTGTGTGTGTGTGTGTGTGTGTGTGTGTGTGTGTTCAGCTTTCAGAATTGCAGGACCGCGTGGTTGAGTGTCAGCTGCAGACTCACGACAGTAAGATGGTGACATTTAAGTTCGACCTGGATGGAGACAATCCAGAGGACATCGCCTCTGTGATGGTGAGCACCAACAGCCAATCAAAGCGCAGCATTGATTTAATCAGAATCCAAAAGAACTGTGGGTTTCATCTCCGTGCGCTGCGTCTCAACATCACCTCCTGACGTAGAGGCCGGAGCCACGGTGTGTTGTTGCAACCACAACGGAATATCTTTGTAGAATAATGGTATTCAATCAGAGGCTGTATTCAAAATGAATGTAGGGAAAGAGATATCATCCTGTGGTTTGTCAACGGGAGCCGGATAAACTTGTGTAGCAGACTCACTGCTCGCTCGCACTAGCCTCAAGTGGCAATTATAGGAACTGCAGTTTTTGCAATTTGACTTTTGGCTTTATTTTTCAGCATAGGAGAGTTTCGATCGGACTAAACAAACTCATATTTAAAACACACATAGGCCGAAAAACGTAAACCCTTGTACTTGAACTAATATTTAGGCTTCATTGACTTGTTGCCATGTGCTGTCTACACTTTGAGACATACTTTTGATATTAGCAAAGTGTCCAGTGCTTGTATTATTTTGAATTCCCCTGAACATATTACACTTCTTTGAGTGTTGGTTTCATACTTACCTGTCTCCTTGACTCTCTCTTCCACACATTTTCTGTCACCCTTCAGATGTCCCATCCATAAAGGCGAAAACCTGAATTGCATTTCAATTTTAATTTAGTTTTTACACACTTTTGGATGTACTAGATGTGCTTTAGCTTTTTTTAGATTGATGTAGGAACAATCATTTAGTACTTTAAGATGTAATCATTGCTGTGCCTGCGATCTCCTGGACTCCTCGCCATTATTGAGGTTTAGAGTGTCTCTGTTTTCAAGTTGCCTATAGACCTCCATTCAGTTTATAAAATTAAAGATGACTTTTTTACTATATGTTGGATTTTGTTTTCAGCTTTTTATTTTTCATTTCTTTACTCAGATCCACAGAGACTTCATTCTGCCATCAGAACGACAAGGATTTATTTTCCGCATGTATGACATCATAAACCGGGCGGAGACAACTGTAAGTGTGTGTGTGTGTGTGTGTGTGTGTGTGTGTGTGTGTGTGTGTGACATTGTGACATTGGCCAAATCTAACTCACCTCAATGGAAGTTTTAGGGTCTTGTTTAAAAAAAGATGTGAGTGATTATTAACAATTTCATGCATGAATTATAAAATCAAAGAATGAAGTACTTTTAGTTGTACTGTGGGTTTATGTAGATATTTATGTGAAAACTCATTGTGCTGTTAATGTTTCATACTGTCATTACCCTGTTCAGATGAAAACATGTAGCCTGATTTCTAATCCGACACAAGCAATGGCACAACGAGCCACAACAATTCTCCTCCCAGAAGTGAAACAAGCTTTGATACAATCAGTCAAATTTTAGTTTTCTAAAGTCAGAGCTAACTCCTTCAAATGAAACTCATACCAGAGCATAAATTAATAAAGTCTGTAGGATAAGATTAAGAAAAGGTAAAGGATTACTCTACAACCATAATTGTTCATTTTCTGATTCAGGATTAATGTTTTAAAAATCTTGACAGTAATATGGACAGACCTTTATATATATTTATTTATTTTTTCCAGCCAATGGTTGCAGCCAAGGCCCTCTCATCCTCATCTTCACTTCCTGGTAAGAAAGACACAAAAACTGTGAAAGGGGCACATTAAGGAGCAATGCACGTATATATCAGTTGAACACCAGGTCGGCCGATACTTGTTTCTTTTGACAGACATTGACCCATCTGCAAATAACACCATGCACCGATTTGTTACATCAATTGAATGCTTGTAAGCTAGTATGCCGAACTGCTGATTGTGAGAAGAGATTCTTTCTTTATTTGGTAGAAGAAGTTTCCTGTTTGAAAAACTTTGATTTGTTTCATGGTGAAACTTTTGAAGAAGATGTTGGAGTCTCGGGGAACAACAAACAGTTCGTAGAACTTGTTTTGTGACACATCGAGAGTAGGGACTACTAGCAACAATTCTAATAAATCACATCTCATAGCTTATTTAAAAAACAACAAACAAGAAACAAACAAACAACAAATATAAAAGAAGTCATGAAGGTCTCTGATGAAGATCCAGATTTAAATGGGATTAACTTGGACATACATTAAAATGAAAAATACATTTAAAAAACATCTGTATGGGAATCGGCAATCAGTTTTAACAACGTAAAACTTCGATATATGCGCCCATTTTCACAATTGATGCATCTCCCCAATGAATCCCTATCCTCCTCAGACAGGCTGAATGATCAATGTGTCTTCTTTCAGATACTACAGAGGTTGACCCCTCCCCCTTGAAGTCAGACAATGTCTACACAAACTCCGAGGCCACACCCACTGGCAGACCCCAGAGGTCACAGTCCTTCCACACCTCTTCAGGTATAAAGATAAAGATAAAGATAAAGATAAAGATAAAGATAAAGATAAAGATAAACTTGGGTGGCACCGTGGGGCAAACCGTGGGGGAAATTTGTGCATTACAGCAGCTCCAGAAAAACAGGGGACGGGAATATACTTATAAAAAATAAAAATAGAAGTTAAAAACAGATCAAACATATTTACATCATTTAAATGAAATAAAAATTACAATAATGTAAAAAAATACAATAATGTAAATGTAAAATTACACAGTAACTTGTTATTAACAAAACACACACAGTGTGTAGCATGAGGTGGTGATGTTGTTAAAGAGTCTGATTAAACAGTCTGACAGCAGATGGGATGAACGACTGCGGTAGCGCTCTGTCTTGCAGGGTGGGTGTCTGAGTCTGCTGCTGAAGGAGCTGCTCAGGGCCCCCACAGTGTCATGCAGGGGGTGAGAGGGGTTGTCCATGATGGATGTCAGCTTCACTAACATCCTCCTCTCACCCACCTCCTCTGCAGAGTCCAGAAACAATGTATCTACAACTCCTACAAAGATAAGCACCCACCCTGCCTCCACATGGGTTGTGGTGGTCACCGTGAGATCCTCTTTAAAATCTCTTTGTCAAATGCCTGCAAACAGACTCCATTGTTGATCCTCAGTCTTGGTTTCACTGCAGCTGTTAAAAGGAGGTTCATTCCCATGGTGAAGAGGATTTGTGAGATTGTGTAGCCTGTAACATTTCTCCTTTCTGGGTCTTGCCACAAAGTTGCAAACTGGACTGTTTTAAACCAAAACTGTTCTGGCCTTCTTTACAATCTCTTGGATTTCCTTCCAGTATGGTTTGATGATATTGGGCATTTTTTCAGGTGTTTAAGTTCTGCCACTGTTAAGAGAAGGCACCCAGAGCTTGGTTTCTGTAGATGTCATCGTGAACATCTTCTCTGGGGCTGGTTATTCTCCCAGATGAAGCTTAACCCGAGTAAATCAATTCATGATTTAGGCTTATCACTTCTAGATGAATAAATGCTGATTATTTTAGAAATACAAGAAGTTGGCTCATATTGGTTTTCATGCATTTCATGTGTGACAAATTTATCAGCATTTTTAGCCACCCATAGGTTGAAAGCAGTCTCTAGTGAGATTTTCTCTGTCGCCCATGGACTTAAATTTATAAAACAGAAACAAATATTGAGAGAAATAAAACTCATGCTGATGTCTGACATTTATATATGTATGTACAAAAGATGTCTGTTAACAATTTCCTCTTTCTCTCCAGCTCCCTCCCATCAGTCTCCTCCACACCTCCTCCATTACCCCCCTGCAGACTCTGCCCCTCCTCTAGCCTCCCCCCTTCCTACATACCATCTCCCATCGTCCCCTTACTCCCCTTACACCTTTTCAACCCAGAGCACCTCCCCTGGCCTCTCCAGGGTCCACAGTAACACTTCCCTCTTTACATCCCCAACTTCCCCTCAGTTCCTTCGTCTCCTTCTCAGTGGCCTCCTCCAGACCAGCCTATCTTCTCTCTGGCCAATGTACTCTCTCTAGCCATGAGCATGGCCCATTCCATCATTCCCCCTCCTGGTACCCCGAATCAGGGGTTTGACCCCAAGTCCCATCCCATGTCACCCCCCTACCCTTCCCCCCCAACTGTCCTCACTCCCCCCATGTCTCCAATGCTGAGTCCTAAAATCAATCTGCCAAGCCATGCCCCCTCCCCAGTTCCAATCCGCTCCCAGGAGTCCTACAATCCTCTCACCAATGAGACAGGCTCCACCCATTACAGCCAGAAGGGAGTGCAACATGGTTGGACTCCAGTTACCCCTCATACAGAAATGGAGCAACGGCAGGTGAGTTTCTGTTAAAACAAAGGCTGTCCTGATAAAATATTAAGGAGCTCATCCTGAATGAAGAAAAATAACGACCAGTATTTTCTGTTTATTGGGAAGGGGGGGAGGGGGGGGGGTAGTATTGTCCACCTGTCAAACTCTTATTGTGCACTTCCATTCAGGATACCTGCTGTTCCATAGAAGTATATCTGATGGAAAAATCGGAGGGCTGTCCAATGGGGCCATCAAAACAAATTCAATTTAGACCATGGACAAATGGAAAGATTATTTCTATTAAGTGGAATAATCTTTTTTTTTTTAATTGTGTCAGACCCCATTTTTTAAGTGCTCTCTTTTTAGCCTGGAATAAAAAAAGCACATTAGGGATCCTTCCATTCATCCATCCATGATCTATACTGCTTATCCTGAGAAATCTGAAATAATCAGACCACATGGCCCCATCTAGCTTAAGGGTTGTCTGAGGGCACACTCACACTAGACTCACACTAGAAGACTGAAGAAGAGAAAGGAGTCTTTCCCTCAAAAAATGGACGAACTAAAGACGTTAGTGATCCAAGAGGGATTTTGTGCTGATCAGAAGAAGGCATTTCAGGATTTCTGGGCAATAAGACAACACGTGGTCGACCCGAAACTGCTGCAGAGATAACATATCCGATGTGGCCTCATTATACCCCAGGTGGAGCCAGAAAACATTGTGGGAGAGAGGAACTTGTGGAATAACTTGTTAAGACTACTACTACAGTACCTGGGGCTGTCGTAGTAGAAGGCACCAGTTTGTTTCTGAATTCTGGCTTTTGTTGGCAACTGCCAAAAATTGTTGGCTATAGTGGAAAACCAGGCCTGAAATCACACAGTGTGAACTGCAGTGAGAACCTTCAGCTATAGATTTGTTTTTGTTTCCATTGTTTAATATTCAACTTTAATTTGAAATCATTAATATAGTTTCTATTACATTTATTTCCCTGTTATGTTTCATCATTTTTAAAATGCTGCATGTAGATCATGTTTTTTTAATCAGGAACTAAGAAAGACTTAGTTTAAGTTCACATGAATAACATGGATTTTACTTCCTCCAGGCATCCTCCCTCATGCCACTGTCACCTAGACTGTCACCCGTTCAGGAGGGTAAGACAAACCTTCTGCCAGTTGTTGTTCACAATGGTTTTGTTCAGTTAGTTAAACTCCACAGGCCTCACTTTCATCCATCACTAAACAGTGAGTGGTTCATCTTCCAGAGAGAGGAGGTAGAAGCAGTGTAGTTTCTTTTTTCTCTGTGCTCTACCGAGTTGAGATTAAACACTTATAATGGCAAAAAAAGAGATTGATGACTTAGGGCAATGCAACTCCATAAACCACTGCAAATACAAAAAAAGAGAACATTTTACATTTTCAAATGAAGACAGTCAAATCTGTCAGCAATTACCCTGTTTTGATTTCTGTTTATCTGCTTTCAATTGTAGTGACATCACTGACTGTTAGGTCGAGTGCAGAGAAAAGTGCCACGTACAAGTCAAGTGCAGCGCGCGTGATGTTGTATTTAGGCATTTGAAATATGTTTCATGTTCCCATTAACAATTCTTGATGGCGATTTCAGGAATGCACCACAAGAAGCAGACCTGCAACCTAATTTAACAACAACAGTTATTCACAGTCTTAACTCTTCAGATTACATGTTTGACTTCCCTCACAGCGCCACCCGCAGGACAAACTACATCTCTATCTCTTCAGCTCTGAAAACTCCTCTTCTGTTTTTGTTTCAGTGAAAAAATCTATCTTCACCGTTGGTCGTTTCCAGGTGGCACCCTCTAAAGAAGTTCCTGCTGTCAGTCATCAGGAAGCCCGCCCCCTTAGCCATGCTACACCTACTGCACACTCCCCGCCTCCCTCCAGGCTGGACCAATCAGACAGTTCAGAAAGCTCAGAGAGCAGCACAGAGGGGCAGAGTGAATCAGAGAGCAGCATCAGCACAGTGACAGTCGCACCAACTAGACATTTGTGGTCCAATGACGACCCTGGAGAGCTGGGGGAGGGTGGGATCAGGAGAGAAAGGAAGAAGAGGAGAGGAAGAGGAGAGAGGGACAGAGGCTGAGTGCATGGGAGGGGACAGCTGGCAGCCCGGGGATGAGCAGCAACAGCCTTGGCCAACCATGGAGTCGCTCTGCACCCTACATCAGCTCTGACGAATCAGATAGCGAGAATGAGGACATGTGGGTGGAGCTTCAGGAGCTACGTGAAAGGTGATTGGTGGATTGATGAGTTCATGTTTGTACAATTGCGCCTGTTGATCTTATCTTTGACTTAAAAGAAAGTTATTCCTTGAACAAAGTTTAAGAAAAAAGCAATGAAACACACCTTGAATGCCACATAAATCCTTTTTAACCTTTCACTCTAATCCAAGACACCTGACAGAGGTAAATAACCTGAAGGCCAATCAGAAGCGAGAAATTGAGGACTTGTACCTAAAGATGGGTAAAGTCCCACCTCCTGGCATCGTCCCTCCATCTGCCATTTTGAATCACCGTCAACGTCGCCTCTCGAAGACCGGAAGCTACCCACGCAAAAACAGCCTGCAGAGACTGGACGTGCTGCCCCCTGCAGGTTGGAGGACGAACTGCTGCCTACTCAACGCAACCAACAGAATAATAACATAAATAAAAGACAGAAAAATAAAACTAAATTCAAATTTCTTACAGGTATCATGAGAAAGAGCTCGGTCAGCGGAAGCAGCAGTGGATCTCAGGAGAGAGCAGGGAAAGGTGTGACCTTCGCCCTTGAACACAGCTTCATGGTGAGCGGTTTTCTTGACAAACCCGAGACTCCTGAAACTCTTTACCTAGCAACTGTATGAATTCCTTTTCCTTCATTTAAAAAAAATAAATGATTAGACTGTTAGCATGACATCAGGACATTGGACCTAAGACTTGTCTTCATGTAGCAATCAAGTGCATATTTAAGAATCAATACAGGATTGTTTCGTTCCCAATTTGAAGTCAGCTGTAGAGAGTGTTTTCAACTAGCTCGTCAACCTAAAGTTTTCTCTGTCTGCTAGCTTCAGACAGCTAAAAAAAAAAAGCACCCAAAGAAAGATCTTAACTGAGTTATTTGCTCAGTAGAATGTTGTATAGTGTAGACCAGGGGTGTGTCCAGACTTTTTTAATTGGGGTAGCCCACCTGCGGCACTGACTTTTACAGGGTGGCATGACCTTTGATGGCACTGGACGGAAATGAACTGTCACTCAAGAGTACATTTTGAGTGACAGTTTTTTTTCTTAAAGCATAAATGTTCTAATGTTCTGTGCCAGAGTTCAACTAACAGTCTCAAATAGTTTACCAGGCTTCTAGTTTTTTTAAATTTGTTTTAAATAATTTGCTGATCAGAGAGATTGGTCTGATGTTGGGATTGCCCATGAAAACCTCTGACTTTTGACCTTTTCCTTCCAGTGAAAGAGGAAGAGAAGCTCCTGACTGAAAACATGAAACTGAGGATGAAGAGGAAAGCTCACTGATCACTTTATTTTGAAACCTGTGGATATGTGAAAGTGTTACATTCTATTCAGTTTTCCAGCATTTCAGCACTTTAGCAAGAAAATAATGAGCTTTGTGAAAAATTCTAAAATGAACCTTTAACAACCACTTATCTCCAAATCAGAACGCCAGAATTTTCTTCGACTGTTCGATAAGGCCGGTCAAATGATCAAGTTTCAATTCGGATTTTTTGGCTTCCCACAATCATAAAAAACAAGTTAATCGAGATTAAATGATTACTCTGGCGCATGCCGTGGTGTGCACATTTTGTACTTAGGGTTTGTCATGTGTGGTAAATGTTTGTTATATTTTGCCCTCCAGAGTTTATCACCACTACCTCAAAAACAAAGTTTGAATGTATTATTATATATTTATATTATATTTATATTTTCTTCATGTATTTTTCTGTTTTTCAAAGTGTGTGTTAACGTGTTTCAGGTCGGTACATTCATGTGATGCAGATGTTGTAAAATCAACGAGTAATCATGTTTAATAATGATGATCTGAACACCAATCAATTTCTAAAAGTTTAGTTCACCTGAGGAAGGATTTGTTGCTTAATCCTTCTTGGATCTTTTTTATGTTTCTTTTGAATAAATTGTTGTCAAATATCTTATTTGAACTGACCCGTAGATGTATCTGCTTATTTATTACACATAGGGGCCGGCTGTGGATCAGTTGGTAGAGTAGAGACCGAAAGGTCAGGAGTTCAATCCTCAACTCCTGCAGCCACAAGACATTTAACTCAAAGTTTCTCCCGCTGCTTCATCAGTGGCGTGTCAATGTGTATGCTTGGGATTAGTCACTTTACACAGCAGCCTCTACCAGTGTGTGAATGTGTAGGTGTGACCTGCAGTGTAAAAACGCTTTAAGTAGTCAGAAGACTAGAAAAAGCGCTTTACAAGCTCAAGTCCATTTACCATTTAACCATATGCTCTTCTATTTGTTATTTAGTGTCCAGTGCTGTCCAAAACCATTGAGTAGAGACAGTTAGATTACTATCTTGCTCTCTCTTTTTGTATCAAGACTCTTACTGGCTTCATCTCTGCAGCTGAGGCAGGTAAACAAAACATAACAACAATCCAGGCATGAGGAAATAAAAACATTGATCATTTTCTCAGTAGTGCTAAAAGATGAAATTCACTTGATGTTTGCTTGATTGCTTAGTTAGTAAAAATATGATTGTACCAGTTTCTTTGTGCCACACAAAACATCACTTAATATCTGAAGATTTTTCAGGACACATGTACACCATAACACTCGTGTTGTTCTCATATTGTTTCTAATACTGACTGAACTCACCATAAACAAACTGTGAGAACACCAAAAACCAAATAATATGCAAAGCCTTTACAGTTAAGACATTACAGCAACATTCAGGGACAGATTGCAGCCTGCACTGACTGATACTGGGAAACTACTCCTCACCATGGCTGGAGAAAGTGAAAGCATTCTCTGCAGCTGCCTGCTTACGCAACGTCACATGTTTTACAGAAACTGAGCTGCAGTACAGCCCAAGAATCTGTACAGCACTCAGACAAAAGATCATTCACAGAGCCTGAACTTACTTTCAGTTTGGACATTATTTAAACACAGCTGATCGTGGGTTTGGCCTCAGAATCTGTCTGAACTTCACTCCAGCAACAGGTAAGAAACTCGTTCCTTTTTCAATCTTTGCTTTTCTAAGAATAAAACCTCTTTGATAAAAGATTATGATTCACCAGCACATTGTCACAAAGTGCATTTGAATATATACAGCTTCTCTATTGTGCCCCAAAGAAATAAACTTCTTGTAGAACTGCCCAGCATGATGACAACTTTTTTCTTCTAGTTGTCTGTAAGTGAACATATGCCATGCATTCAATTTTAAATAACACGATATGCCTTCTCTGTTGTTTTACAAACTTTTAACTCCATCTCAATAAGACTCTGATTTTTTCTTCTTCATGTGACTTAGCATGTTTAAACATAATATGTATATACAGTATGAGGTTTTCTTAAACAATCACAGGAGTTGAACATATATATTTAGTGCAAAATGACTCAGCAGATTTGCACAAAAGTGACATGGTCCGTTCAACACTGTACATATATATGAAAAGTTTAAAGGGCGTGTGTAGTTTTCTTATCTAAAAAAAGGTCAGAGAAAGTTCAACAGAGTATGTTCAGTATGACATGAACCAGCAGCTCTGCTTTATGTCAGTCTGCTGTGTATAATTCTTCCAACTCGGGTTGGAAACATTTCTTTAGGCGCGGTCAGCTAGCACTCAGTAACAAGTTTTGTAACAAGATTATTATCATGAACATGATGCAGTAAGAGTGACTTAGAGACAAAGTTAAGTCCTGGTGCTTTTATAGGGAGGGGTCTACACTTTTTGCTGCTTGGCGGGCGGGCAAAACTGCACGTACACAGGAACCTATACATTGTTGGCAGTTTCCTCCTGGGACACTTGGGTTAAACAAACATCCTGGGCTTAAAGGATAAGAAGTGCAGCAGGGTTATCTTTCAAACACCTCAAAATTGGATAAATAAGACAGGCGTAGTCATAAAATGTAGCAATGGTGTAATGTATTTTAGCCGACCTCCCAAAGTGCAGTTAAAAATATTCACAAAAAGTGCCAAAAAATGCAAAACACAAAAAGCATTTACAAAAACAAAGTCTGCCAAAAAGGCATAAGCCCTTGGAAAGTCTATAAGCAAGCTTCTACCACCTCTGTTACCAGAACCAGATGGACTTGTTAGTACAAGGCAATCATATTTTAATCTAGAAGCCCCTCTGGGCGTAATGAATTACACAACTGTTTTGTCAAAATTAAAGGACAAGCAATAATGGATAAAAAATAATGTGAAAAAGTCTCAGGGCTCTGAGGCTGCCCTTGTTACCATCAGGAAGGGGCATTTCAAGCCAAATTACTTGGAAACTAACAACGATTATTCAAAGCCCATTATTATTTACTATCTGAATTAATTGAATTGGACCGAATGTCCCAAAGTCTGCTTTAAATTCAACCAAAGAAACTGTTCTTGGATGGTTTTGGATGGGAACTTAAAGTGTGTTGTTATTCCACTTCTGACTCTCTTCTTTCAGATTTTCTTTCTATTTGCAAGATCAGCAGGACACAGAGACCTCCACCATGTCCACTGCAGACCAGCTGCTGGAGCAAATGTTCTCCTGGATCGAGCAGAGGGAGCAGTGTGCAAGGAAGCTGAAGAAGCTGGCCCAGGAGCTTGAGTCACTCAGAGAGAAATGTAACGCCAGTGAAGTTGTCGGCAGTTCAGTGGCAGTGGTTGGAGCTGTATGTTTACTTGGAGCCGGTGTGGCCACTCTGTGCACCGGCGGTGCAGCTGCTCCATTGTTAGGTTTAGCGGGAGGAGTGTATTCAGGCGTAGGTCTCGGCATATCTGTGATTACTAAAATCACTGAGCACCTCTCGTCAAGCGACACCATGAAAGAGGCGAAGGAGATAGAAAGTCAGAGCAATGAAATTACCAAAAAAATCCAGAAACTCTTCCAGAAGCTGAAGGAAGAGAGGCAGCAGGCGGGATCCTTTACAGGCCCTGATGATCTGGACCGTCATGTCATGACTGAAATCTTGGGAGCCATGGCCAGACGAAGTGGAATGCATCCTCACTTCATTATGCAAATGCTCCAACGGCCCAATTTATTTTTTAATGGAGGACCAGGCAGCATAGGGCTCAACCAGAGAGCCTTTAACCCTGAACTGATGGTCGGACTTGCTGGTATTTTATCATTTTTCACACTGACAGCTGGTGGGAAGGAATTTCAATTTCTGTTTGCCAAAGGAGGCCAACAACTGTTTAAAGAAGTCTCTAAGACTGGACTTAAAACAGTCCTTAAAGGAGGTGCCATGGTAAGATGAATTAACTACACAAAAAAATAATTAAAGTAAATAATGCTCAACGGTGTTACATTGCAATGTATATCACATTACTACATGAAACAATTCATGTATATGTTGGTTTATTATGTTAAAAGTAAACCATGTCTTGATTCTGTTCATTGTCAGGCTGTTGGGGGAGTGATTGGAATCGCGTTTGAACTTCCTGAGGCAATCAACCAATGGAAAGACCTGATTGAGAAGAATCATGTGACTGAAGCGAGCCAATCACTGAGAGATACAGCTAACGACCTTGAAAAGATCAGCCGCACTCTGAGGGAGCAGCTGGATAAGATCAAGTATGATATTTTTGTGATTCTCCACACAGACTCTCACAAACTGTTTACATGAAATATGTTTATGAAGAGTTTGTAGGGTGCAGTAAGATCGTATAGAGAAAGATGTGAATAACTACCGCATAACTGATCAGTCCTGCTGGATTACTTGGACCAAAAAATGCCTAAATTTGCAGCAGATTTTCTTTTTTAAGTTGAAATGCAAGCGCTGATGTTTTGAGGGAGTTTTTATTGTAACACATTACAAATCCACTTTAAGTGACTGAGAGAAGTGCTCCCTCTAACGGCTGAGCTAACTGTTTGTCTTCTGACATCAACAGTCAATTTTTCATGTTGAAATGCCAAACTGTTAAAGAATAAATAAAAAAATTAAGTGAATGATTATGAAAAAGACATTTCTGCACTACACATGTCCATTTCAATACCATTCAAGTGCACATAGTAATTTACACTTCATTTCAAAGATTTATAAATTATATTCAGAGTTATTTAGGATGCTGTGCGGTTATGAAACCATTGCTTATTGACAGGGAAATTAATTAATCACTATTCAAACACTTTTGAGATCAGCGCTGACTCACATCAGTAACAGAGCCTCTGGTTGGTGGAAAGTGTGAAGGACAGCCTCTGATTGGTGATTAGACTCAACACAGGGCTCCAGAAATGGCAAGGTAGATGTTTAAACAGCTTTCAACATGGAAAAATAATCACAAGGAGGCATACAGAAGATTTATTGTTATTGATTGATTCACTGTTATATTGTAGATCTAATGGAATCAATATTTTATGAAATGAATTGGTGACATGTATGGTGTAGCCTTTGGGAGCAATTGGGGAACTGGTCAAGGTTGTGAAGACTGGCAAAAACTGCAGGGTGGTGCAATCACATGCACTCTTTGCAGATACCTTGTTGCCAAAAAGCTCCTAGAAAGACAAAGTTTTTTTATTTATTGGAAAATTGTGACTAAGATGCCCCTTTTCTCATTTTCCTCCAACAGAAAAATGTTTAAGGAGTTTCAAGTACTGAAGAGCTGCATTGAAAACAGCAACAGGAGTCCTCAGCAAAAGAGAGACTTCATCGAGATTGTTAAAAGATATTGTCAAGATCAAGCCATCTTGTCATGGCTGTCAGAGAATTATGACACTGAGATCTTCTTCAAACTCGTGGACATATTTTATTATATAAAACAAATGTTAGATAAGAAAAAGAAGAAGACAGACAGAGAGAACATCGACATCATCTTCGTAGCACATGGATCAATTGAAGAGCCCCTGATGACAGCCAGCTCTCTGCTCCCTCTGTCCACAATCGAAGATGTGATCCTGTATTCTCCCTGGAACTCTCTCATTGATTCTAAAGTGGCGTATGGTATTATTAAAGGAAGCCTACAACCTCATCACAGGACCTTCGGCTG